AAAAAATATATATATATATTGGTTTTTTATTTTCCGTGGGTATACCTTTAAAGATAACATAGTAAAATTGTAAATCTATGTCTCGAAAAGAGTTGGAGTTACAATATCCTCAGTGTAACCGCGCAGTTCAATCAACTCCATCAATATAACCTATACAAAACCTTATAACCTATATGTAACCATCAATATAACTAATATATAACCATTTTATAACCATAAATATAACCAATATATAACCATTTTATAACCAGAACTCAAATTTTGTTACAGGATGAGTGGTTTCTATTATATAATTTTTCCTTCGTCTGTCAACTTACGAAAAGTTATGTTACATTATTTTATATTTTTGATGACGATATGTATAAGTATGCTTTTAATTTTTAGCAACCGCCTTTAGGTGTGCCCTTTAAAACATGCAAGAGATTTGATCTACAGTGCTTATGTGGTGATATTACAATTCTTCATATGTAATACTCTATTTCAGGGTGAAAATTTCCCATGGAAGATACACAAGGTTATACATAGCTATTTCTTTATTTATCTGCTCCAATGTCGGCGAAGCACTCTTCGTCTCATATACTATGCACAAAACAATTCCAAGCATTTTCATATGTATTTAATAGTTTCATCCATTAGCGGCGTGCAATTTCAACTCCAATTCTGCCATTACTCACGCAGAGGGTTGTCAATTGCAATGCGTTTAGAATGCGCTGAGAATGGATTTTCCCAGAAGCATTAAACTATTTAGTGTCGGAATGATTTTGAACAGAGTTGCTAAGACAAATGGAAATTCAACAGATTCTTAAGGGAGTTTTTAATATTTTAAAGACTCTACCTTTGAAATGTCGATCTCGATCATTATTTTAGGCCTCTTCTCGGAGAAATAGTGTTGTTTTCTCAACAAATATATGCAACAATATATATACATGTATGTATAATATTTCTTAAAACCTCATTTCTTCTTTTCGCAAGATTTTCTATAAATTTACATGTCTGCGATTTGCTTTTTGTTTTTGGAAGACAAATCACACACTGACAGCAAAGAGCGCTTGACTAGTGTATGGAAATTGTTCTCCTTTGAAAGCGGCCATTAAGAAATTGGACCTTGAATCACCCACTCATATCGTACTAATGGAAAACTATAGACAGTTTGAGCAAAACACCCACGGAGCTTAACTACCGCAACCGCTGGAAGTTGGACACAGCGATTCGATTTCGCAAACTATCAGGAATCATTATCGGTTATGGATACTTTGTCACCTCCAATGCGAAGAGTTTAAGCTTAGAACACCATCTAAAAAACCGAACTGTTTATGTAGAAATCTTAATTTTTGGTTTCGAAAATATTCACATTCAACCTTTCTATGTAGTTTCTTTATCGAGACTCCAGCAATAACACATATTGCTAAAAATCCGCTTCTTCCTCTCCTCTTCGTTATTGGCGCAGTCACCGCTTACGTAGTTATTGCCGAGTTAACAAGGGCGCACCAATCGTTTCTTCTTTAGCAGCTTGGCGCCAATTCGAGATACCAAGTGCAGCCAGGTCCTTCTCCATCTGATCTCCCCAACGGAGGGAAGTTCTTCCTTTTTCCTCTGCTTCCCGCGTCGGGTACTGCGTAGAATACATTCAGAGCTGGAGACTTTTCATCCATTCGGACAACACGACATAATCAGCGTAGCTGCTGTCTATTAATTCCTTGAACTATCTTAATGTCGCCTTGTATCTCGTGCAACTCATCGTTCCATCGAATGCGATATTCTCCATTACCAATGTACAAAGGTCCGTAAATCTTCCGCAGAACTTTTCTCTCGAAAACTCGTAACGCCAACTGGCTCATCAGTTGTTGTCATCGTCCATGCCACTGCGCACAATAATGAGTGACTGTATCTTTGATTTCACAAGATATTTCACAAGATATTTCGTCTTGTCCTCTTTCACTTTCGCTTTTTGTCCAACCTCGAGAGAGCAGAACTAACGCGCGGTTGTTATTACCCATGATATCGATGTTTTCGGCGTACACCACCAGTTGTCGCACTTGTAGAAGATTGTACAAGTGTAGATTATTTAACTCTGCAGCTAATATTGTTTTAAAAAATCTGTTGATTTACATATTCTATTAAGATTGTTGGCAACTCTACAGCACTACAAAATGTCAGCGTTTGAAATCACTTTAATTGCTTATTTAATATTTTTGCTGCCTATGGACTAACCGAGGGTCAGCACAGATTTGAACTTCAAGCTAATAAAATTGACTCATGTACATGACACTAAATGTTCACAAGAAAAACACGAACTAATCCACTAAATCGTGTATATATTCCACGAGTATACACATTTGCATGTATAAATTTAATTTTTGTTGTCGAGTATATATACCCTCTATGTACAATGAATTAGTAAGCATGCTACAATGTAGTAAATATAGTACTTGTGGAAACGTGCCATGTGATTTGACTTCTTCTAAATTAAGATCATTTCTCATTCTACAGATTATGCAAAAGTGAATGTCTGCTTGTGATAGAGAAGTGGGTCTGCCATCATTAGGTCATTTCACTGGATACGAAACTGTAGACGGCGCTAGTAAAATTTATATTAAGAGATGTGATAAAAGATGTGATCTTTACATGAAATTTATGACAAACCAGTGATTCTCAGAAAGGGTCTACAAATATTAGCGGACATACTCGCCAATATTTGTCTATGAAATTGTATTATAAATCATTAGATATAGAATTTTTAGAGTAAATACAAAATTTTAGTTGTTTTGCAGCCACAAGTTCATAAAAAATCTCCACAGTTTTTTTTTTTTTTTTTGCCGTCACCCATCTAAAAGTCAGCAATTGCATCAATCTTATTGTGTGTGCACATAAGCACCTCCTGTTTATATATTTATCGCACATACTGTATTTGCTTAAGCCGCTTAACGCTGATAAATGCCCGAGCGCGCACTTAAACGCGCAAACAAACAACGGCAAACCCGACAAGTTGTGTGTGCGTGCTCCGGTCATACGCAATCAAAATTATTTGCATATTTATGTGTTTCTCGTTTTGTTTAGCCTGCCATGTTTTTCCAGCATATTGCGTGGCTGTTTTTTTTTTTTTTTTTTTTTTGAAATGTTGGTTTTGCTTTTATCCATTTCCATGCCATTTCCACTGGTGATTGCCGGTCGCGCACGTTGACCACCGTCGATCGCGCGTGAAATTTGTAAAATTCATATTTCTAACCGCGTAACGTGCGCTAGTGTTCCTGCAGCGGATACAGGTTGGTTCAGAAACAAGTTTTTCATTTGAAGTATGATGGTGGTTTTAACTGAGAAGATCTTTTAGTTCGCTCAGTGCTTTATTTATGGTAGTTAAACAGTCAAGTCAGTCAAGTCAAGTAGTCAAGAAAGCAAACGGTTTGGGAATTTTTAAAGGCCAAATCGAGCTTGAAAACAAGAAGACGTTCTAATTTTTTTTACTCGGAGACGAGAGTATTGGCTCTACAATGCCAATTTTTTAAGGATTTTATGATTTTTTTTTTTCAAGTTAATTTTAGTATAAAATTCTTTTCATTTTAGATAATTATAATGAATTTTAATTTACGAGTATAATTCATATAGTACTTTAATTTTTTTCTGTTTATTTTGATTTTCATATATATGTACATATTTTTTTTTACTTTTTCGAGTAAT